TATATTTATAAGGGGAACAGGATGGGGGCCCAAAAAAGGAAAAACCCCCCGTGTTTTTTTTTTTTTTTTTTTTTTTTTTGGTTCTGTTCAACTTTTCAGCCTTGTGTATATATCTATATAAAGCTCGTTTCTTGTTTGTTGTAATTTTAAAGAATGTATTTCCTAATACAGAAAATACATTTCTTGTTTCCAAGATTGTATTGTTGATTTTGTTTCTTTGATATTTTGCAGTAGTTATACTCTAGATGGCGACAAAATCTAGGTTTACATTTCCTTGTGTGAATTGCACCGAGCCTGTCAAAAACGCACCTGGGACTGTATTTCAACCCAAATTCAGAAGACTTTGTTTCCTTTTATATTTTGCATAAACATTTTGACTACTGCATGCTGGTTCTACCTTTTTTTTTTTTTTTTTAAATTTGATTTAAAAACTATAACTACATGATGATTCTCATTACTGTATGGAGAATCATCATTGATAATTACAAATGAAAACATACATGCTATATAATTTTTGAAAATAAGCCTGTATGAGGACTGAATTCTCAAACCACATGTTTAGTGTAGCTCTTATATTTAGTGAAGGTTTTTTATTTTGTAAAGCAGTGTTGCATTAATTACCAACATTGAAAAGAGTGTAGAAGTGTGCCACCAAAAATAAAGGGGAGTAGCATCTCGATTATGAAAATTTGGAGCAGAATAAAGGATGTAAATGTTTCATCAGAAGCAGGGTGGCACATTGTGCTTTGAACCTGTCTTTCTTTGGACATCAAAGTCTTCCATTGCTGATGGCTCGGTTGAAGACACATCAGAGAAATACCTGCTCGGCTCATTAGCGTAAGAAGAGGTGGAAAGGCAGTCTTTCCCTTTTATAGCAAGAAATGTAGTTAGAGAATGGGATGAGTATGTGTTATGTGCTATGCTTATATATAAAACAATTTTTAAAAAGGTTTTTCAGATTTTTTTCGTAATTATGCATTCAGTTTTTATGACCATATATTCTACAGGGAATATTTGTATTTATAAGAAATATTATTATTTGGGGCCAAGCACAAAAGGTGCTTGGGCACCTACTGTATCCGTTAGTTTTCTTTTTCTTCGTCCTCCACTCTGGAAGCCCATAGAACCGCTTGTGGGAAAGTTATGAAATCTGGCACACAGATAGAGGATGGTCTCAATATTAACTAGCACCACCAATGCACTTATATTTCTGCTTATGACTTTTGAACCATAAGGTCTAAAGGCAAGATTCCTTGGCTCATACTGTGTCAAATGCGTACCAAAATTGACATTTCTATGGGTCAAGATTTTTCGCAATTTTGAATTTAGCTAATTTATCTACTTTTCTCATCCTAGACTTTTTGGTCAGATTTTCTCGAAAATTGGTTCAGATCATCTTCAGACAATGCTGGCAAATATGTATCAAACGATTTCTGATATACCAAACCTTTCTCGTAAAGCGTGTTAATGAATTTGATGAAATTTGCCCAAAAAAGGACAAGAGGCTGTATCTTTGCAACATTTTAGCGGATTCTAACCAAATTCGGCACGTGTTATAGCAAGCATGACCCGAGGGCATGAGTTGTTTCGGCACCTACTGGTCAAAATATATAAAAATGATTTTAAAAATGTACATTTTTACTTAGAATTTTTTAACAGTTTGACCAAAAATTATCAGATTGATCTGGTTAGATTCGGAGCATTATACCGAATTGAAAGATACCTACATTTCCTGTGTCGGCCATATTGATTTTAAAAAAGTGACGTGACATGTGGCCAAGTATGGTTACCCATACTAGGAATTAGTGCTCTGCATTTAACCCATCCTAAGTGCACACACACACCGTGAACACACACCCGGAGCAGTGGGCAGCCATTTATGCTGCGGCGCCAGGGGAGCAGTTGGGGGTTCGGTGCCTTGCTTAAGGGCACCTCAGTCGTGGTATTGAAGGTGGAAGAGAGCGCTGTACATTCACTCCCCCCACCTACAATCCCTGCTGGTACGAGACTCGAACCCACAACCTTTGGGTTATGAGTCTGACTTTAACCATTAGGCCACGACTTCCCCACTCTGCTACCATACTGCAGAGTTCAGCTTCAACTCTAATCAAACACCTGACCCAGCTAATCAAGGTGTTCAGGGCTACTTAAATACAGACAGGTGTGTTGGAGCAAGGGTTGGAACTTAAATCTGCAGGAAGGTAGCTCTCCAGAAGTAGGGTTGGAGATCGCTGGTCTTTACGGAGTAATTAAAGGCAGCTCCTTAGCTCTTCATTTTAGCTCTCTGTTGTGTTTGGCCCTTTAATTGCTGCTTGCAGCTATATTTATTATTATTATTGTATACTACAGGAGTATTTGAGTGAAATACAAAAATAAAGGTAAAACAATGACCAGCTGCAGCACCTAAAAACACTTTTCCGTCCAATTTATTAACTGGTCAACTATAAATTCCTTTTAATAGACAGAAAAAAAGGTGCATCCTTAATGATTGTATATAACTGATAATAAAATAACTTTTCAACATGTGAGGTGTGGAACAGGTTTCTTTTTGAACATGCCAAATGGGCACACAGTGACAGCATTTTGAACTTTACATTTCTACACACATCTTATTTCCGTTACACTCCAAAACAAATATTTGTGTTGTGAATTTAACACATTTGTGTAACAGATGATAAATAAGTTCACATATCACAGGCTATTGATTTCTTTATATGCAATGTAGGTGAAAAATAAAATCTACAACATGGTATAATGGTGTAATACAAAGTGACGTGGGATGAGGTTAAACAGTGAAAAATGTGTTTGATGTGTTCCTTGTATGTCAGCTTACTTTAGCAGTGCAATATAGCAAAATAAGATTTTGTATATGTGCGTATTTCAGTAATTCAGTGAGTGAGCTGCACAAAAAAATAGACAACAACAACAAATAAGGAATGTTCTGGGCTCAATACAAGCTGATATGCTGTCGATTATAAAGTAAAATAGTTTTGAAATGTTATAAAAACAAGAAAGAATCATGCTTGGAGTAAAACAGGTAGATTGGAATTAAGAAATCTGTGAGAGAAGGCACTGCACCAGGATAAATGTTAAAATTCATGCTTTTCAAAAGTACAGATACAACAAGATAAACATTACACATAAAACTAAAATGCTAGAACTGCTAGCTAAGCTTATCTGTGTCATCTTATACCTAATATCTCAACTCCAGTCATGTTTATGGTGACCAGAAATCAGAAAGAGTTTTAACTGCAAAGTATTGTTTACATGGAGCAACTCCACCCACAGGAATTACACTGGTAACGCAGAAACGAATCTGTCTAGAAGGAAGATTTATTACAGTTTTACAACTTTATAATTACTTACAAAAATACAACCTGTATGCTTCTGCCTTCAGAATGTTTTACGCCTTTGATTGTAAGTGTGTTACTGTGGCCTAAATGTCATTTTTGTTTTTACAAACTAAGAAACGAGTTGAAATTATGTTCTTTGTTAACAGCTTGTCACAAATGCTGGAAAGAACTTGTATTGAATCTGGAACATTCCTTTAACGAGTCAAGATAATTTAGTCACAGTTTTAAAACATTTCTTCACCAGCTGGGTTCCCTGCACAGGTAAATATCCATCAATCCCTCTTTTCTTCATCAAGTCTTTTATAGCACAGTGGTCTCAATTTAAAAATTGACTTTATTCTGATGCACTTATAACCCAAGCTTGCACTTTTAACCTGCTCCAGTGTGCTTTGTGAAATGGCCAGAGCAGTCATGTGAATATCATCAAACCAGGGTCTTGTAATCCTTTAGTTTCTAGGAAAGGGGCAGGGAAAGATGTGAATAGTCCGAGTGTGTTACTGTGGCCTAAATGTCATTTTTGTTTTTACAAACTAAGAAACGAGTTGAAATTATGTTCTTTGTTAACAGCTTGTCACAAATGCTGGAAAGAACTTGTATTGAATCTGGAACATTCCTTTAACGAGTCAAGATAATTTAGTCACAGTTTTAAAACATTTCTTCACCAGCTGGGTTACCTGCACAGGTAAATATCCATCAATCCCTCTTTTCTTCATCAAGTCTTTTATAGCACAGTGGTCTCAATTTAAAAATTGACTTTATTCTGATGCACTTATAACCCAAGCTTGCACTTTTAACCTGCTCCAGTGTGCTTTGTGAAATGGCCAGAGCAGTCATGTGAATATCATCAAACCAGGGTCTTGTAATCCTTTAGTTTCTAGGAAAGGGGCAGGGAAAGATGTGAATAGTCCAAGGACATCTGCATTCCAAAAGAAAAGTTACAATCCTCCGTTTAGCAAAGCTTCCTCTCCTTGCTCAGCAAGCAGCTTCCAATTCTGTCTGTTCTTCCTACAACCTTCCAGCAGGGGGGAGCAGTACTCTGAGAAACCTGTCAGCGACTGCTCACACAAACACATGGCAAGAGAGCAGGAGGACAATCAAGAAAAAGTTATCACTGATGAAGCTGAATAGATAAGAAAGATAAAAATCTGTCATCATTTACTCATATTTTGAAGAATGTTGTGGCCCAGACAATTTCATCGGTCATCAGTCATTTTTCAAAATATAAGATGAATACAAGTTTAGAAGGACATGAAGGTGAGTTAAAACACCCATACAGGTTGAGGTATTCTAATACACACACCCAACCCATGATGATCCACAAAAAAGCAGCTAATGATATAATATTTCAAAAAAAATTATCAAGACAATGAAACAAAACATACACTAAAACTCAAACGTGTGTGATTTGCATTTCACATCAGACACTAAACCGGTAGGGCCGCACTAAACTTGCACCATTGGTTGAGCCAAGTTGTTTTTTGGCTGGTTGGGATGCTTAAAATTAACAATGATATTAAATATAAATGACAAAAGAAAATCTGATTTACCTCGTATAACTGTGTACAAATGGCATCAATGAAAGACACTTGCATGCTGGGAATTTTATCCTGTTTCTCCCTGTTCATCAGATCCTTGGAAAGAATCAGTTCACATGGTTACAGTCATTTTCCCCATCCTCCAGAGAGTTACTGACCTGGTTCTAAAGTACTCCAGTCTTATAAAACATAAAATTAACCTTTTTTTCATAGAGTAAGTAAAGAGCTTACAATAGGTTCAACGTTTAGCTCTCTCCGCTCCTTATCACCTTGTTCAAAGAACTCTGTGGCAACCAGTTCTGCTATCTGTTGAAACATAAATAAATGGTAATTACTGAATTAGTACTTCCTTTGGTGAAAAAAATTGTCAATATTTCACATCAAATGCTGATCAACTCTGAAAATATGACACTTTCCTGTCTGTTTTTAGTTGTCTGTCTCCACCACACCCTTACAGGTTTTCTTATTAATGCCATTCGTGATACTAATGATACTAAGAAGTTATGTGACGGATATCTGGCTGTGTTTAAAATGGAATACTGTGAATGCTCAATATGTTCTGTATGTTTTAACTATAGTATGTGAATCAATGCATATCAATGATAAACAATTGGTGTCCATCTATCTTATCTCTGAAAAGATTCATAGTAAAGTACTTTTTTACCGTAGCCTCATGTCCATACAGTAAATAATAAGTCTGTCTATAGGTCATGAGTTTGCATAATTCTCAATGATAACATGTTCTTGGTTACGTTTTATGAGTGTGAAGGTCAAAATTATGGTCATTTAGGTTACACTGAGTAGGACTGCAGCTGCACCTCCACCCTCTGCTAATTAGCAAACAAGCTTGTTAATTACTGAAGAGAGAGAAAATTAATGGAAGAGAGAAGGTGGTGAAGATGTCAAACTATGAAAGGAAGAGTAGAGGAATAGGAGTGCCTATAATGTGCTTTTCAAAAACAATTGGATGGAGTGTGTTAAACCAATTTAAGGTTAGAAACATTGTCTATGCAAAGGAACAAAAGACTGTAAATACTTTAAATTCATAAAGCTACAAAATGTCAAAGTATCTACAAACCGCTATTCACTGAATGCAATAACGCTTACATTAGCCTTCATTATGGATAAACATTTCACAAGCAATTTTAAGTCCTTGTGCTTCTCTGCTGATTTTATATGAGTGAGCTCTACTGTGAATGTAATCATATGTATATTTGCATATTTACCTTCTTCTGTACTGGCCAGGGTTTTGTAATAGCAGAGATATCACATGCTGTCATCAGCATCGACCTACAGAAGACAATAACATCATAACGAAGAAATATACAGTGCTGCTTGAAAATTTGTGAACCCTTTACAATTTCCTATATTTCTGCATAAATATGACCCAATTCATCATCAGATTTTCACACAAGTCCTGAAAGTAGACAGAGAACCTAATCAAACAAATTAGACATTTATTGGTCTTTTATTTATTGAGAAAAATTATCCATTGTTAACATATCTGTGTGGCGCAAAAGTATGTGAATTTTTGCTTTCAGTATCTGGTGTGACCCAATTTTGCAGCAGTAACTACAGGTAACGTTTCTTGTAACTGCTCATCAGTCCTGCTCAACATCTTGAAGGAGTTTTAGCCCATTCCTCAGTACAGAACCACTTCAACTCCGTGATGTTGGTGGGTTTCCTCCTATGAACTGCTTGCTTCAGGTCCTTCCACAAAATTTCAATTGAATTAAGGTCCAGACTCTGACTCGGCCATTCCAAACATTAACTTTGTTCTTCTTTAACCATTCTTTGGTAGATGACTTGTGTGCATGGGGTCATTGTCTTGCTGCATGACCCACTTTCTCTTGAGATTCAGTTCTCGGACAGATATCCTGACATTTTCCTTCAGAATTTGCTGGTATAATTCGGAATTCATTGTTCCATCAATGATGGCAAGCTGTCCTGGCCCAGATGCAGCAAAACAGGCCCAAACCATGATACCACCACCACCACCACGTTTCACAGATGGGATGAGGTTCTTATGCTGGAATGCAGTGTGTTCTTTTCTCCAAACAGAACACTTCTCATATAAACCAAAACATTCTATTTTGGTCTCATCTGTCCACAAAACATTTCTCCAATAGTCCTCTGGCTTGTCCACATGATCTTTAGCAAGCTGCAGATGGGCAGTGATTTTCTTTTTGGAGAGCAGTGGCTTTCTCCTTGCAACTCTGCCATGCACACCATGGTTGTTCTCCTGACGATGGACTCATGAACATTAACATTAACCAATGTGAGAAAGGCCTTTAGTTGCTTAGAACTTGAACCCTGGGTTCCTTTGCAACCTCGCAGACTATTACAAGTCGTGCTTTTGGAGTGATCTTTGTTGGTCGACCGCTTCTAGGGAGGGTAACAGTGGTCTTGAATCTCCTCCATTTCTACACAATCTGTCTGACTGTGGATTAGTGGGATCCAAACTCTTTAGAGATGGCTTTGTAACCTTTTTCCAGCCTGATGAGCAACACCAACTCTTTTTCTGAGGTCCTTTGTTTTCCAATCTCCTTTGTTCGTGCCATGATTCACTTCCGCAAACATGATCAGACTTTCATAGATCCCTGTTCTCTAAATAAAACAGGGCACACACAGACACCTGATAATCATTCCACTGTTTGAAAACACCTCTAAACAGACGGACTCTAATTTCACCCTCAAATTAACAGCTAATCACAGAGATTCACATACTTTTGCACCGCACAGAAATGTAACACTGAGTCGTTCTTCTCAATAAATAAATGACAAAGAAACTATTTTTGTCTCATTTGTTTGATTGGGTTCTCTGTGTCTTTTCTTTCAGGACTTGTTTGAAAATCTGATGATGAATTGGGTCATATTTATGCAGAAATATAGAAAATTGTAAAGGGTTCACAAACTTTCAAGCAGCATTGTATATGACTGACTCGTACATAAACGCATTCTTCTTTCCTGAATGCTTGACACTCACCTTAGCAGATCTCTGTGATAATCGTCCTCCCATACAAACTGACTGTTCTTAGCCAGCTCAAAGAATTCTGTTCTTTTCCTGTAAAAACAAAGATAGCATTATGAACAAACAGCAAGAAACCGATAGAAATTAGCTACTGAATGTAGCTCATTAAATAGCTAAATGCAAGTCAAATTTATAAATCCATTTTGTAGGTTTCTAAAAGCACCTTCGACTCAGCTGTATATGACATCTGGTACCTACTTCATGTAGAGAGCTAGGTCAGTGGCCAAAATAGACTTCTCAATCATCTTCAATGTCGCCTTGTACTCATCCAGAGAAAGACCGCTCAGAATCTGATTACCCTGAGAGAGCGAGACAGTAGGAATGAAAGAAAACAACATTTTGTCTATATTATTATGTCAAGATGTATGGAAGTGGATGAATGCAGTTACAATGTGGCCACATAAAAACATTACATGGTTATTTATTTGAGGGTATTTATGTAAAATGCGGGGTTTCTTATTTATAAAAAAGATGAATCTGGTAAATATATAACATATTTGTGTAATAATTAAACTATGTATGCTTTTTTAATGTGTTCTTATACATATACACACAATATACACTTAAAAAAAGGGGGGTTTAGCAGTAATGAAACATTTGGGGTTCCCCAAAGAACCTTTCAGTTTTAAAAGAAAAATCTTTATTAGTGTGAAGACATTTTTAAAATGTAAAGAATCATTTGTGCAATGGAAAGGTCCCATGAATGTTAAATGTTCTTCATAAATCCATAAATACCAAAAAAAAGAACCATTATTTTGAACAGTGTAGGATGCTGAGACATGGTAGGTAGTTGCTATGTGATTTTCTAGGTGGTTGCTTTAATTGCCAGAAGAGCCCACTCCCAAGTCTTTATTATATTCTCTATAGGATTTGTCTAGAGTACCTCCTTCAAATAATTTCATCATTTGACAGTATATAAGTAACAGCACATCCCATCAAAAAGATACATAATTTGAGGTATCATATCTATACCGCAAATGGAGTGGACATGTTATATGCCAAATGTTATCCATTTTTTTGATTTAAAAGATTGTTTAAATCACCAACCTTAAAGCTGCAGTCCATAACTTTTTTTGGTGAAAAATTATCAAAAAAAATCAAATCAATATTTGAGCAAGTACATAACCAGCCAGTGTTCAAAACGATTGCCTTATTTTAGCCTGATTCACAACGGTTAGCTTATAATAATGTTTTCTAATTTGAGTGGTACGGTTAGGTTTTCACAGGAAATTCGAGCATGGCACATTAAGTCACATCTGTAAACATAAAGTTGTTGTCCCGGCTACTAGGCTATCGCATGTGAGGATTCTGCAGGTGGCGGATCGTTTATAGCCTTTTCTCACAGCAGCCAGAATAATTAAATGTATCATTCTGATGGCGGATTGTAATCCATAAAGGATTATATGTTTATATGTTTATATGTGAAATACAGTAAATAGCCATTCCACACCGGTGCGGTGACTGACTGCCACACATACTCCTCAAAACATTAGATTCATCTGTGCTGGAGCCGTGCCGACTCACAACCCACGCAAGCTAGATAATTCCACACCCAGCTGCAATTCCAGGTTTTCAAACAGAGATGGCGACAAAGAGGCAAAACTTACGGACTGCAGCTTTAAGTATGGGCTAAAAGAGAAGCTTTATTTCAACAAATGCTACATTGCAGGCCAAGTCAGGCAACCGTGGGATAAGGTCAGCATGTTGCTTTAACAACATCAAGCCCCTGGACAATGAGAAAAGCATGGTCCCAGGCTTTCTTATTGAGTTTGCTGAATGTGAATGAGAGCAATTATTCCCTGTGTGTAAATGCGATCTGAACAGCTAATTGTTTTCAAAGATACAGATTGTTATTACCTGTAAAATAACACATTACTTTTAAAAGCTTCTCTGGATTTACAATGCAGAAGTGAATTACTCTTATCAGCAGATAGAAGGTAATAGGTCAACAAACAGAAAATCTAATTCAAGTGTTTACAATTAACATGTTTACAACACACTGGACATGTTCCAACACACTGCTAATGGAGTCTGCTAGCATGGTTTAAACACTCTCATATGCTTTTGTCTGTTATGTGTAAAGTTTTGGGTCACTGGACTTCAGAGTAGCATTTATGTTATGTTTCCATTACAGTACATATTCTTTCAGAATTTGACAACAGAAAGAAAAAGTAGAATTTACGTTAAATAAATAAAGTTCTTTTTTATACTTTGATACATTTTTTAAAGACCCATCAATGGCCATTTAAACCCCATTAATCTCATACCATTACTTATGCAATTCTAACTGCTGTATAAATGCATTTATGCCACCTCTAAACAGTCTGTGTAAATATACCAGTTCAGATGCCACTTCTGAAAACAATATATTCTTTACAAGGATATTCTTTTATGTAATGTCTATTCAATGCTTTTCTTTTCTGACACAATAATGACATAAGCTTATTTTGCGATTAATTCGATTAATGAGATGTTTAAAACTCTCATATACTCACTGGACCGTTGAGTATCATAAGACACTGGTCAAAATGGTGGTGCTCCATTGTGGAGTGGCAGTACAGCTGGGCCAATGGATGCTCACTTCTGTGAAAACAGTCAACTATGCTGCATCATTCTAATTTTTACATATCCATCTTGCTGCTAATAACACAAGCTGATACACCAAACTAAAGTCAGCACAAACCTTTTGATGTAGGAGTTGTTGACACCTCGGTGGTCCAAATCATGGCTCAACGTTGCAATCATTAAAGCTAAAACCTCCAAATCACTCAGATTACTCTGTAAAGTGAAAACACTGCTTTACAAAATGATCACTCTTCTATGTGATTGGTTAATGCACTGAAAAGCACTGCAAAACATAGCCATGCTGTCCAAAAACAAACACAGTCGTATGTAAATCTGAATAACTGTAATTACTTTCCGGTAAACAGGCAAACTAAATCCAATAAGACTTTAGCTGGCATGTCAAAACAAGACTTAACTAATAGTGCTCAATTCATAATTCATCAAACATAAGTCATTTGTGATTGTGAATTATTGTAACAACCTGCCTCAACACACTGTTCCTGATAGACTTTTACTATTTCAAAGAAAGCATGCCTTTTCCGTCAGTCTAAAACAAGTATATAAATGCAAATGATTAACTACCACTGTAAACAACAGAAGACATTTATAGTGGAATGCATAATAAAACTGTTCTGCTAGTTCATTTTTGCTTAGAACAATAAACTGGTTGCTCCATAAAAGGAAACAGTCTAAAGCTTTTTGACATTTTCAAAAGAGCAATTACTACAAAATAAAAAGGATAACAAGTACAATGCTGTACAATACATTTGTATAATAATTGTTTTTAATTACTACTGTACAGTACTTGTGCTAGCAGTCTTGAATCCAGAATTGTATACCTTAATATAAAGATCAGCAAGCTTATATCCTAGTTACTGTTTAGTTACAAGACAGACACGCTATGTGTTAATAGGTTTTAGTAGGGTTACTGATTTATGCTATGCTAGACTGAACTCAATTTGTACGGCAGATGCCACAATGCTGATGTGACCCTTGCCTGTGCTGTGTTTGTTATCAGAGTCACTGACCTGAAACCGCCCAGACTTTAGCACAGCAAACATGCACTGGGAGGTGTTGAAGGCATGTCGCCAGTTGTGGTAGACCACATTCTTCCTGTAGTTCTTCTTTACGCTTAAGATCCACTGACACAAACTCTGAAACAAGGTTAATAGTTCTTTTTATAGGTATAAAGATTAGCCTTTTGATTGCAGGGATTTTTTTTGTTTGTTTTTTTGGTAGGCTAAAACCCAGAAATGAGTTTGAATCTTTGCACTTTCATTTCCGTTGTCCCAATGTCAAGGTTTTTTAGTTAAATGCCCCAAATAAGGTCTGTGGTTAACACAAGCTCAAGATATTTTCAAGTTACTTTCTCCATAAAATAAATGCATCAGTGATACCACTGTTGTAATTTTTCAAAGCTTTTACTTATCTTGTAAAAAGCAGTTGCTAATAAGTGGCTAAATGGGACTACAGAGGTTGCTCGGGACATTAAATATCATCATGGCGAACAGGAAAGTCTGCTTTCACAACATTGTTGTCTTTATAATCACACTCATGCAAACTATTCTAATGCCAATTTTCAGGGAAAATATAGACTGAAAGTGTTGTCAGAAGCTCAGTGGTGTTGATTTTAAAGTCATGAAAGCAAGGTGTAGTTCGTTCGTTACTTCTGGAGAAGCATGAGCTTATTCCTAATCCAAAAGGCAATAGAAAAGTCCTGTCAGGGAAACCAGTGTAATGCTAACTATTGGGCTGGCCAACAAAAAATGTAATCACTGCAGCGCTATATAGATAGAAGCAAGGTAAAATGAAGGTGTTGTAGAATTTGTGGAATCTTTTTCTGGTCCTTAAAAATGGAAAGGTAATTTCTCAACTATTATAACTGAATTAAATTGAATCCCTCTGCATGAGACAGGATGTCGAGGTGGGATTTGGACTAAAACTCACATTTTTATTTAATGTGGTATCTGAAGTCATGAAGAAATCAGAATTAGCCCAATTTACTTTTTAAATACACATTCCTAGTCTTATAGTGCACAATTCAATCTTTAATCATTCAACAAAAAGTAAGGTTACATGGGCTATGGGTTCATTTTAAAGGGGTAGTTCACCCAAAAATTAAAATTTGATGTTTATCTGCTTACCCCCAGGGCATCCAAGATGTAGGTGAATTTGTGTCTTCAGTAGAACACAAACGAAGATTTTTAACACAAACCGTTGCAGTCTGTCAGTCTTATAATGGAGGTGAATGGGAATCACGGCTTTGAGAGTATAAAAAACATACACAAACAAAACCAAATTAAACCCTACGGCTTGTGACGATACATTGATGTGTAAAGACACAAAACGGATCTCAGACTTATAAGTGCATTACCGCCACCTATCTCTATTGACACTATCTACAATCTCAATTAGGAGTGTCAATGGTCCACTTGAGAGATAGGTGGCGTTAATGCACTTATAAGTCTGCGATCCGCCGTAAAGGAAGAAATAGAAGACGCCTCATGCTCCTGCTGTTGAGAACGTGCTCAGGAGGACATGCGCCGCTCAGGACAGTTCGGACATTGCGTGAATCAGAGGTAAAAAACTATATAAATACTGTTAAGTTTCTTGCACAGATCGATTATAAGTCTGCGATCCGCCGTAAAGGAAGAAGTAGAAGACGCCTCATGCGCCTGCTGTTGAGAACGTGCTCAGGAGGACGTGCACCGCTCAGGACAGTTCGGACATTGCGTGAATCAGAGGTAAAAAACTATATAAATATTGTTAAGTTTCTTGCACAGATCGATCGTTTTGTGTCTTTACACATCAATGTATTGTTAAATACACATTCCTAGTCTTATAGTGCACAATTCAATCTTTAATCATTCAACAAAAAGTAAGGTTACATGGGCTATGGGTTCATTTTAAAGGGGTAGTTCACCCAAAAATGAAAATTTGATGTTTATCTGCTTACCCCCAGGGCATCCAAGATGTAGGTGAATTTGTGTCTTCAGTAGAACACAAACGAAGATTTTTAACACAAACCGTTGCAGTCTGTCAGTCTTATAATGGAGGTGAATGGGAATCACGGCTTTGAGAGTATAAAAAACATACACAAACAAAACCAAATTAAACCCTACGGCTTGTGACGATACATTGATGTGTAAAGACACAAAACGGATCTCAGACTTATAAGTGCATTACCGCCACCTATCTCTATTGACACTATCTACAATCTCAATTAGGAGTGTCAATGGTCCACTTGAGAGATAGGTGGCGTTAATGCACTTATAAGTCTGCGATCCGCCGTAAAGGAAGAAATAGAAGACGCCTCATGCTCCTGCTGTTGAGAACGTGCTCAGGAGGACATGCGCCGCTCAGGACAGTTCGGACATTGCGTGAATCAGAGGTAAAAAACTATATAAATATTGTTAAGTTTCTTGCACAGATCGATCGTTTTGTGTCTTTACACATCAATGTATTGTCACGAGCCACAGGGTTAAATGTGGTTTTGTTTGTGTATGTTTTTTTTTACTCTCAAAGCGATTCCCATTCACTTCCATTATAAGATTGACAGACTGCAACGGTTTGTGTTAAAAATCTTTGTTTGTGGTGGTTTTGTTTGTGTATGTTTTCTTTTACTCTCAAAGTGATTCCCATTCACTTCCATTATAAGATTGACAGACTGCAACGGTTTGTGTTAAAAATCTTTGTTTGTGTTCTACTGAAGAAACAAAGTCACCTACATCTTGGATGTCCTGGGGGTAAGCAGATAAACATAAAATTTTCATTTTTGGGTGAACTATCCCTTTAACCTATATCTAAATTGCTATTTATCTCTTTTTACCAATCTCACATTAAAGTGTTGCTTCATTCTGGTATGTAACGCCAACATTTCACATTTTCAAATTTTCTTGTTGGATATCTAGCCACATTGAAATGGGTTGTGAATAATAAAGTAACATAGGTTGCCATTTCATGTTCACTTGAATCCCAATATTTCATTAAGTAAATGTAAGTATTTTTTTTGTTTTGTTTACATTCCGTTATTTCATTTTTGTTTTATTTTGTTGATATATTTGTTGTTGGACATCATCATGGAAAAATGATTCTTGCCAGAGTCAATGCTTTCTGATAATTGTGTTATGATTATTTTCACCCAGCCATCCATCCAGCCATCCATTCTCCAAACCGCTTGGCCTCTGTAGGGTCACGGGGACGCTGGAGCCAATGCCAGCGGAGAGGGACACAGGAGAGGGACACAGATGGCTAGTCCATCACAGGGCTTTTATTTCTTATTTCTAAAAATATCCTATTCACAAAGGTATTTAAAAACTAAGATTAATTTATCCTGGAACCGAAAGCATCCAAAAATATGAGGGTTACCCAAATAAATTTAGGTGATCATGTGATCTCAACAAAACAGCTTTTTCTAGGCCACTGATGACTGGTGACACAGTGGCACTGACATTCCTGGTCAAAAGTGCCATTTAATTTATTTAGGTTTAAAACATGTGAAGTGGTGTACGTCTAAAATGTGTAAAGTTTGATTAGACTAGAGACTTTTGACACTAATTCTTTGCACAGTCCTGAAACACTAAGTAAACTTCCCACAGTTTACATGATTAATTTATCCAATAAAATGTCAGTCTGGTGGAATGTATGCCTGTGTGCTATGTTCTGTTGTCATATGATATGTATATTATCAGCGCAGCCTATGATTGATCAGGGCTCTGTACTGTGGTGGCCTCTAGTAGACCTGCTTTCATTCACTCAGTCAGGGGTAAGTCACACCCAGAAAACCAATGAAAAAGGGAGACTTCATGTCCTGCCAGGAAGATACCTTGCCTAACACTGAAGGCCATAAAAGGAGCTTGTTGCAGCCGGTCAAACACACAGTGAAGCCTGATGTTTTGCTTTAATAGTCAGCTGAACCAGATCTGGCAATTACAGTTCAAACTGCATGAGAAAGAGGACTGTTCTTCATTTTCTTCTTTGTGAGGGTTTATTGAATGGATTCCACAGAGTTATTTGCAACATTTATTTATAGTTGAGCGAACAGATTGCTTTTGCCCAAACTTTTGGCTGCAACTCTTCAGATTACTGTTATCATCAATGGAAAATATATATATATTTTGTTTGTATTTATTTTGTTTTATAAAATATGTTTAAGGGCTATTCCACCCAAAAATTCTGTCATCATTTACTCACCATCATGTTGTTACAAACCTGTATGCATTTCTTTCTTCTGTGCAGGGAACACATAAAAAAAGATATTTTAAAGAATGCTGGTAACCAAACAGCTTCGGTTCCCATTGACTTCCGTTGTATTTTTTGTCCATACAATATAAGTCAGTGGGAACCAAAACTATTTGCTTCTTCAAAATATTGTCTTTTACATTCCACAAAAGAAAGAGAGATTAAAAGTAAATGATTTTCATTTCTGGGTGGATTATCCCTTTAAGTATAGAAGAAAGGTCAGGTGTTGTGGGTAGTTGCCAGAGCATGGTGGCTATGTATTGTGATTACTAAGGTTCTCTAATTGAATTTTAGCACACTTATGTGGTTGCTTAGGCGTCATGGCTTAAGCAGTGGTTTGCAGTGATTTTAGAACAGCTAAGGGGCATTGTTAGGCATGAGGTGGAGTGGGGTTAAGTGTTCTAAAACACAGTTATTGCATACATTAAAAAAACTGAGATTTTTTAAAGTTGAAAATAAAGCAAAGATTACAATAGTACATTTTTACAAGAAAATAGTGTTTCAGTCTTTACACTTAAAAATGTTATGTTTAATTCAATGTGTTACTTGCTTAGTTTCTTTGTAATTATTTGTGAAATTTACTAGCAGTGTCGGAGTGAACTAAAAAAAAAAAGTAAATCTGGCAAGGGTTTATAAAATAAAACACAATGCAACAGTAATACTAATGTAATGAGTTCACAGGTGTGTTTTGTTTTTTATTTTCTGTAGAAATGCACCATGACATAATGCTTTTGTCAGTGGTTGCCAAGTTGCTCTGAAGTTGTTAAGGTGTTCAGAGGGGTTATTTAGTCCATAATGCAGTTTTTAGAGAGTAATGGGTTCTTGCTAGGTGGTTTCTACTTGACCCAGGTCAAATAAGCTCATCCTCAACGGCCAAGTCTCTTTGATATTTGGATCCCTATATATGGCTGTTCATATTCAGTGTAAGTCTATTCATCTGTTTTTCATCCAGTGAAAATTGTAAGTCTGATCATTTAGAAGAAATACCTCCCCACATTAAAACATGACTTGAGGTATTATTCAAGACAAACATATGGGACGAGTTAAGAGCTTTAGTGTAGTAATGAGGCTTATGGGTCTGTACAAACACCTAACCCCAGGAATGAGAAATAATTTAACACTACTACTAATAAACAAAATAAATGACAAAGTCTAAGCAGATACCTTGTACTTCATCTGAAAATTCTGCACAAGCTTGAGGTCCACAAACATGCGGATGGTTGCTTGGGTCGTCTCAGCATCCGTCAGGTCAAAATCACTGAAGCTGAAGTCCAGCAGTCTGAGAGATTGAGAAGAGGGAATCGTAGCCGCCTGTGAAGATAGTACAGGCAAATATTTACATTACACCTTGAAACTCAAAAACTTGATTTTTTCACAATCAGTTGCTGTCTTAATCTGTAAACATTCACACACACATCTGGACAATCACACTACTTCACTCACTCAACAGACAACCAAACTAAAAGGAAAGAGATCACTGACTGTCAGGCATAAATAATCAATGAGCTGCGATCAGCATAGTTTGCAGTGCACAGGATGAGCATTTAGCAGTGCTGCACTTGATTTGTCTTCTCTTGCTGAAAACGGTTCATCGGACAATGCAAAGCACATAAATAATGTTTCTCGTCCTCTCTCCTGTTGTTTTTATGTGCGTAAGTAGGGAAACAGAAACCACAAACACCTGCAGAGATAACATAATTTTCATATAGATTCATCTGTTTATTATTAACTACAATTCAGGTATTAGTGGTTAATGTCCTATTCCATCATACACAAAATGAAGCATATAGCATATGTTCAGGTGTTTTTACATGCCTTGTAACTTACGCAAACAGTGGTAAATCTGCGTGCTGACCTTCGCTTCTTAAGAGTAATTGGTGTAATTAACAAACAAATGACTCTCAATTGAAGCAGAAATTCTGCCTCTGTCCATGTCTTAATTGCCTGATTACTCTCAAAGGCCTAATCAGAGCAGGTTTTCCATATCGACAGCTGAGAGTGCTGTATCCAAGCAACCTGTGCTCTCTGGGAAATTCCCTGAGGGTATAGGAAATTCCTGTTTTCTTTACAAATGCTATGAAGAATAAGACTCAATTGAAGCAATAAGCTATGAAAGACAGCAATTTTAGCATGGATACAAGGTTTTCGTCAACAAAAAGCGATATGATACAAGACATACTTTCAAAAATAAAGGGAATTGATGGCACGGCCATTGCAAACTACTTTGAAACTGCAGCTTGCCAAGCTACAAGATACACACATGTTACTCTGTTATGTACTCATATGTTATATCTTAAATGAATTAAACTTTCCAACATATGAAATAAATGTTTAGGAAAGCACACTGATTCTCAGGCTTGCTGGGCAGTAAAGCTGTTTGCCAAGTTGTGCTATTGGAACTGTAGTTAACTTAGTAGGGTTGCTAATTTTAAGATACTTCCCAGCATTTTGCACTTTGAAATACCTATAACACTTTTAGCCACATTACATTCACAAAATAAAGAGTCTCAAAGTCTTTATTGTTTTTATAAACCTATATTATAAAATATATAGTCATTTTTTACTGTGCCAACTGCTAATAGACACATTCCTTTACATGTTAATAATAACAGTTTTTCTTGAGGTGCTGTACAGTATTATACACAGTAGCAAAGTGAACAGGTGTCTTACCGTCACATCTGTTGCTACTTTGTGTATTTTACCACTGTTGGAACACTGTATTGACCATCCAAGACTTGATGGTGTATTGTTATCTTTTTACTTTAGTAAAACTTTTTCTATATAATCAAGATTTTAAGGACACAAATATTCATTAAAGCATTAGTTTACTCATCAAATTCAATAAGTGCCATCCTTCCCCCAAGAAAATATAATCCACAAAGAGAATGCTACAAAAATTTGCTATCGGTTCTGCGCAGTGAAATGGTGAACATATGTGACGTGAAATATTATTCTAGTGTAGTATGTGTATATTAGCTATTTAACAATGGCTTTAAACAACATGGCTCATCCAATCAGATTTCAGATTTGAAATATCTTTTTCATAAATTGATATTTATTACAACATCATGGTTTGAATGACACATTCAAGATGACGATGGCGCATTTCGATATGAAATAATGAGAAACTGTAATTTACCGTAGTTACCTGGAGCGCCCGCGTCTCTTCCTCTGCAGCCGAGGCATGATAAGAGAGGACCTGCATAATATTCACACACAGCCACATTATATTAATGGGTTTGCGAAGTTTCTGTTCCGAATGGCATTATATGTTTAGCTTATAGAAAGTATACTGCAAAGAATGCAAATTTTAAGTATGCATTTGGGACTACATTTGCCAGAACATCCTATATACAACCAGAACATGATTTGATTTGATCAAACTGACAATTACACAAAAAAGTCAAGGACGAAAAAAATTCAAAATAACCCTTTTTCTGAGATAATACTGAATGCAGAATAAAACATACTCAAGTGAGACAAGGTGACAATGGTGCATGCTGATTAACTATGTACTGTTTTTCAATTTTGAACACAGCTACCTGTCTTTTTTTATTTTAATAGTGCTGGGTGATGGAGGATGTAAAGTGAGGATTATGACAAAGGAGAACGCCTGATGTGGAGTGCAGCCATTGTGTCAGCTGCTGGAGACAGCATGTCACCAGCGCTTCTGACTGTGACAGCTCCAGAATGGTGGGATAGAAAAAAATAGAGGAGTGGGAGGATATCAGCCGTGAGCACAAGACTATGTGTAGCAGCAGATTAAAGGGGGTAAAAATCTTTTAAAATATGAGTTTAAAATACTATAAAAATTAAAATGCAAAATGTCTTCCTCAATCCAAAAAGAGCATTTATTAAAAATAAACTGGAAAACTGCCCTATTTCCAGAGATATTTTGATGTCACAATCTTGAATATATTAATACCACCCACAAAGCAAGGACATTCCTTGGTGCCCAACCAGTCATAATGAACTCATAATGAGGCTGGATGGAAACAATTTCCCTGATTATTTCAGTCCAATCTGATTTTCGCACAAGGGGAAAAATAAAGTGATAAAACATAGATTTGACTGAGAGTGTGCTAATGTTAGCTGCCACAATTTAATTTAATTTTTTTTAATTTGTAAATGTATGAAATCACACTCACCTCAAGTGTGACCTCTTGCTTAGCCATTGCTCTTTCCACGGCTTCGTACATCTGTGTGTTCTGGATTCCCAGCCCGCAAAAGATAGCAAAGGCCTCTAGAAACTGCTCATCGTTTCTATTAAAGGCTTTTACCTCCCCTGAAGCTTCATCCATCTTATTGACCAACTGGCAGACACCTGCATTCAGAGGCCATAAAAAAAAATGATATAGCACAAGGGTGTTCATAATATTATTAAAGTTGAACAGGGATCATTTCATCACGTGAATATTTTGCCCAAAAAATTAAAAATGTACAATTCTCACTATTAACTAGTTGCTTATTAGCATACCTATTATTAACATATTGACTGTTTATTAGTACTTATAAAGCATATATTCTGCATGACCATATTCTACATCCCTAATCCTACCCAATTTCTTAAACTTAACAAATTAAGAGTTTATTGAGGCAAAAGTTGTAGTCATTGGTTTGTTAATAGTGAGAATTAGACCTTAAAATAAAGTGTGACCCCATTTACTTTTATTATATGAATAAAGTGTCCAGGAGCTTTTTTATAAATTCACCTCTCATGTTCCATGAAAGAAATCAATAAATTCATATGGGTTTGGAATAAATGAGGGTGAATAGGTTTGAGATCATTACATGGTTTATCAACTTGGTCTCTCAGCTAAGTCTCAACTTAATTTGTATTCTATGTAATTTGTATTAACTATTGTATGGTGTAGAGGCTAGGATAAAGCAATCAATTAAAAAGCAGAAAGCCTTGGATTTATTTTTAACATGAATGGCTCAATAGAACATATAAACCCTTCAAACCCTAAAGAAAATGACCACCTAAATTATTCTAATCAATTCAGACTTTCATCATAGGGCTTATACTGATCTGTGCACTTGTATTTGAACAGCACTACAATGAGGACCATTGTTTAGCAACTTAATGATGTCAGTTAAAAATGCAAGAGAAATTATAAAATAGGAGATGGACTTTTTGTTTTGAAATTCACTATTATCACGTTTATGCTATCTAAAATATATTTTATGGATTCTGAATAAAATCTGAGCGGTGTTTGTTACAGGCTTTATTCTGATCCCTAGAAATGGTTTGGATCCCTTCTTCTATGTAAGTCTATGATATTTTTTTCATTTGTTTTATTTTATCAATTTTTTTTATTAATTATTATTATTATATTATATTTTTGTTGTTTTATTTTCTGTCAGGTATAAATCTTAAATGTAACCACTATAGTATCACACCTCTACACAAAAAGCCACACAATTTGAGGTAGTATTTATTGGTGTGGGATGACGAGATGAGTGCCAAAGTTTAGGGTTAAGTATTTTTTTTTTCATATGAGCAATTGTAATATGCAATGTTTGTCTTATTAAGCACTAGGGCTGTCAAAAAAAATTTGAATTTCGAATATTCGTCGAATAAAAAAAAAAAAAATCCACATTCGAATGTAAAAACGTTGCATTCGAATTCTAGGTCTGCGTCAGCCGTCAGGCAGCCTATCAGTGGCGCACGAAATGCGACGACGATGTAAGTGTCATTGCATTTGAGTGCTTTTGTTAGCTTATCCAGTTGAACCCACTAGACGAGGCGCTGCTACGTTGTTCATTCAATATATTGTGGAAAACGAGAGCATCAGTGTGGAGATGATGTTTACGTCAAAACTGAAACCAAGCCGTTCACACTGAATGCATATTTATCACATTTTCTAGAGGGACATCTATCTGCGTTGCGCTCGCGTCTCGCACAAGAGAGCTGCATGTTTAGAAAGCCATGTAAAATTAATGTAAGTTCAACTTTAAAAAAACATGACTCAAGACTTTTTACTGCGGTTTTTCCCCATCTCACTGTATCTCAAGTTTTTAAATGAAGAAAGTAGCCTACACTTTGTGATTGGTTTTCGGTCCTTTGTATTAAACTATACATACATGCATGGTGCTGTTTTTTTTTCTAATTGTTTAAGCAACTTTATTAATTATATATGGTTTATAAACATTATGCACTTTTTTTCCAAAGGTGTTATTTTATTACGCTTTGAAGAAACGTGCATAATATTTTGCGCGATGCGCCCTCTTGTGGCCTCAAGAGAGAAGCCAAAAGCTTTTTTTCCCATAACTGAAATTATGCCTTTTAAATTTGAATATAATTTGAATTTTGATCATATTTAAGTAGAAAATTCGAATTTAGTTTTTCAGTCATTTTGACAGGCCTACCACTAATAATGACTTTTTAAAGTGTTAAAAGTTATTCATAAAAAAATATTTCCGCTCAGATTGTGGAAAATGAAATATAGAAAACACATACCTATCACTTTGTCTTTCTTCCCATTCCTTATTGGCGTGCACAGTAGACTTTTGATTTGACAGTTTGAGGACTGTAGATTTTCACTCTTTTAAAAAGAAATAAAAGAAAAAAATAAATGCAATGAAGAGATGGTCAAATAAATTCAGTTTAAAACAGCTTTGGGAAAAGGGGCAGTCCATGATGCAAAATGGGGGAGGTGTATGTCTGAATGAATAAGAGCTCTGTGAAATCCCAGAAACATTGGGATCCCAGAGCGGGATGACCCTATGCCAATTGGCTTTCCTGTCCAGCTTCCCCCCCCCACCCCAAGTACTTACTGTCCATGGAAATCGCTGGTCTTTGGTGACATCTGCAATGATCAGTGGCTCCATAGTGTTCTTGACATACTGGGCATACATATAGTTAATCTTATTGACATCACATTCTCTGTAAAAGACAGGGAAAGAAGTTTAAGCACTCCTGCTGAGAACTTTGCTACACTAATACTACACAACTTTAGCACTAAATAGAAACCATGTTAAAGGAATAGTTCACCCAAAATAAAATTTCTCTCTCAGTTTACTTATTCTAATGTTTTTCATATGGCTATGGTGTGAGTATGAGTTGATATGACAATAAGAGGCCATTATACTATAAACATATAGTAAGTTTTAACCCTCACAATTTTACACCTCATTCAAAGAGAGAATTTCTTGAACCCAAGCTGCCAAAGTTACAAATTTTCCACTTCCTCCATATTTTGAGGTCACACCATGCATCTGACTGCCTCCACAACACATCCATGCCTACTTTATCTTGTGTTTACCCACAAAACTTAAGGTTCCATTAAAACACGTTTGTGAAAGAAGATCAGAAATAGGGTGGAAAATAATTCTTACCAATACCCAAGAATAATTAGGTTCCCAGCAGGCATTGCAATCTGACTATTCTCAAAATGACTCAAATACTTAAGCTACATACTTTCTTAAGCTTGGCACGCTAGTCAATAACAAATCATGCAAAATGCTCTTAGATTAAATATTTCAAATACCACAATGTCTTTTTAATAAGAATGATAAAAGCACTTGACTTCAAAATCCAAAAGAAATATATGGAAATTGGCATGCAAGTATAAGGCTAATTGGTGGAAAAAAATAAAAACACTGGGAAAAAAATGTCCAGCATATCTCAAAGTCAGGGCTATGTTCTAGAAATATCCTGTTCTATTTGTCATATTACCATTCTCAAGCAGCTGTAGCTACATACATTTATGTTATGTCAATGCAATGCACAGATGAATGTGAGTTTACATACACAACTGACACCTGAGGCCTGTTGCACGAAGCCGGTTTCGGTTTTTACCCAGGTAAGTTTGCGTTTAGCTTGAGCAAACTGAGTTTTCGGGCTCAAAAAGGGGGGTTGGTTTTGAGCGGGTTTTATTGCCACGTTAAAAACGTTACACAGCTACCCTGCTCTGGAGCAGGTTTTATTCTGGGTTAGAGATCACAAACCCGAATTGGACCAATCAGCTGTGAGTAAAGTGACATTTATCTGATGCAATAAAGCCACTCCCCCTTATTTCTTGCTTCAAATTAAAGCAGTTTCGAGTGAAAAAACGTCACTATATAAATTATTAAATTCAGTTGATTCATTTGCATCATCAGATATCTTCTTAAACTTTTGCTGCAGTGTTTATTCCTGCCTTGTAAATGCATTTAAATTCATTTTATTTTTAATAACGACATATTTTAGTTTTCAGCAGAGAAGTGAATTGTGCCAGCTCTCGCAAGAATTAAATCAAACCTATGCTCTCCATGTATCGTGTGATTGGCTGTTTGCCGCACGTGTCACACTTGCAGGTGCACACGCTCCAGAGTTAATCACAAACTCTGCATCAAACTCTGAGTTGATAGGCCCTGTCCCAAATGGCACCCTAAACCCTTGTGTCTTCCTCTGAGTCCACATTTTCGTGACGTAATGCCGCTTTGACTGTCGGGTAGAAGTCTGCTGCGGCGCTCGCCCCAGTGCGGGCTCAGCAGAAGTGCGGATCGAGGGCACATAATGGCCGCAAAGGGGGCGCTCACGAGCACCCTTCTGAATGCTAAAATGACGAATGGGACACCCTACGGTCTCGTGGACTTAACGGACACGTTCACGCGGCGGCCATTGTAAGTCCGTAAGACACATGAAGTGTTCCATTTGGGACAGGGCCATACTCAGACACACGCTGAACCTGATCTTGGTTGTGCCACTTCTAAACCTACTCTGAAACTCAGAGTTTATTAAGATTATGACTAAAAACATTGCTGAGTTCTCAAATAAAATTATGTTTAACCTAGTAAAATGCATATTATAATCTACAGCTTTTAAGGTTTTTGCATACTACATAACCAGTCAATAACCGTATTAAACACTGTACTATTATTCAAATAACAAAACAGATTTTTTAGATGAACTATAGAACAGTAAATGTAAGGTTCCACATTCAAAACAACTTAAGATCTATCAGCAGCAGAATGCCTCTGCAGAATGCCTTCAGTTACCACAGACAACAATACTGAGCCATCCCTCAGTTTATAGAATTAAACAAAAATCACATTCACAGCTATGCAATTATTATATTAAATCTGGTAGGTGCAACTTTTGTAGTGAGTTCAAGGTATACATTTTACCAATATGCAGTGGCGGCTCGTCGGGGGAGGCACAGCTTCCCCAAAATTTTGAGGTGAAAATTGGAGGAGGATGATTTACTGTTAATAAAATTCACAATTCACTTCAGTTCATGTCTCAGAATGTGTATTTTTTGCTTGTAATTTCACAGCTGTAATACCATAACATGTTAATGAAGTTGGAAAGCGCCGCTTTTCTATTCCGAATCTGCTGATGTAATTACAACCGCTATGTGATAGAGAAGGGGAGGGGGAGCCCAGGGGAGAGCTGAGCTCTTGTGCCTCCGTTGGTAAAAAAAATTAGCCAATCACCATCGAGTGTTCACTTTCAGCGCTGAGGAGTGTTGAGATAAGAAACCTTGCAAGGGAGGCTAGCCTCCCTTCTGAAATCAACCAATCATCATAGAGACGTAAATTACGTGATATTAGCTTGAACGTCTGCCGCAGTGCTGATAATGTACCAAGTGCTTATGATGAGTAGCGATATTGAATATTTGATTGCCAACAGATTTACCAAGCTGTCATTCAAACAGTATATATACAAATAAAAAAAAAAGGGAAATCACGCCTAAGCTGGATATAAGCTACAGCAATCGGCTTAATTAAATAGCACAACAGGCAGCTCTCTTTTAACACAGACTTATTAAATTCAGTTGATTCATTTGCATCATCAGATATCTTCTTAAACTTTTGCTGCAGTGTTTATTCCTGCCTTGTAAATGCATTTAAATTCATTTTATTTTTAATAACGACATATTTTAGTTTTCAGCAGAGAAGTGAATTGTGCCAGCTCTCGCAAGAATTAAATCAAACCTATGCTCTCCATGTATCGTGTGATTGGCTGTTTGCCGCACGTGTCACACTTGCAGGTGCACACGCTCCAGAGTTAATCACAAACTCTGCATCAAACTCTGAGTTGATAGGCCCTGTCCCAAATGGCACCCTAAACCCTTGTGTCTTCCTCTGAGTCCACATTTTCGTGACGTAATGCCGCTTTGACTGTCGGGTAGAAGTCTGCTGCGGCGCTCGCCCCAGTGCGGGCTCAGCAGAAGTGCGGATCGAGGGCACATAATGGCCGCAAAGGGGGCGCTCACGAGCACCCTTCTGAATGCTAAAATGACGAATGGGACACCCTACGGTCTCGTGGACTTAACGGACACGTTCACGCGGCGGCCATTGTAAGTCCGTAAGACACATGAAGTGTTCCATTTGGGACAGGGCCATACTCAGACACACGCTGAACCTGATCTTGGTTGTGCCACTTCTAAACCTACTCTGAAACTCAGAGTTTATTAAGATTATGACTAAAAACATTGCTGAGTTCTCAAATAAAATTATGTTTAACCTAGTAAAATGCATATTATAATCTACAGCTTTTAAGGTTTTTGCATACTACATAACCAGTCAATAACCGTATTAAACACTGTACTATTATTCAAATAACAAAACAAAATGGATTTTTTAGATGAACTATAGAACAGTAAATGTAAGGTTCCACATTCAAAACAACTTAAGATCTATCAGCAGCAGAATGCCTCTGCAGAATGCCTTCAGTTACCACAGACAACAATACTGAGCCATCCCTCAGTTTATAGAATTAAACAAAAATCACATTCACAGCTATGCAATTATTATATTAAATCTGGTAGGTGCAACTTTTGTAGTGAGTTCAAGGTATACATTTTACCAATATGCAGTGGCGGCTCGTCGGGGGAGGCACAGCTTCCCCAAAATTTTGAGGTGAAAATTGGAGGAGGATGATTTACTGTTAATAAAATTCACAATTCACTTCAGTTCATGTCTCAGAATGTGTATTTTTTGCTTGTAATTTCACAGCTGTAATACCATAACATGTTAATGAAGTTGGAAAGCGCCGCTTTTCTATTCCGAATCTGCTGATGTAATTACAACCGCTATGTGATAGAGAAGGGGAGGGGGAGCCCAGGGGAGAGCTGAGCTCTTGTGCCTCCGTTGGTAAAAAAATTAGACAATCACCATCGAGTGTTCACTTTCAGCGCTGAGGAGTGTTGAGATAAGAAACCTTGCAAGGGAGGCTAGCCTCCCTTCTGAAATCAACCAATCATCATAGAGACGTAAATTACGTGATATTAGCTTGAACGTCTGCCGCAGTGCTGATAATGTACCAAGTGCTTATGATGAGTAGCGATATTGAATATTTGATTGCCAACAGATTTACCAAGCTGTCATTCAAACAGTATATATACAAATAAAAAAAAAAGGGAAATCACGCCTAAGCTGGATATAAGCTACAGCAATCGGCTTAATTAAATAGCACAACAGGCAGCTCTCTTTTAACACAGACTTTTAAGAAGGGATGGGCCAGGTAAAATGAAATTATATTATCTTGCTGTATGTGTGTCGTTTTCTTTACGTTTTCTAACTAAAAGCAACCAAAAAGCCATTTTAAAGTGGTTAAGGAAATAATACTAATACTAATAATAATAATAATCGGCAGGGATTCCAGACCAATACAATTAGTGTGCCTCCTCTATTTTAAAACCCATGAGCCGCCACTGCCAATATGTAAATTCCATAAAAATGAGCAGGAACTTGTGATGGAAGTGCATGAGGCACGTAATGCCTGTGTTTTAGTTAAAGCATTAATTAATTATTATAATTTTTTTCTGTTTAGAATGTGTATTATTTGAGTTTACACTCTTAAAAATAAAGGTGCTTCACGATGCCATAGAATAACCTTTTTGTCTAAATGGTTCCATAAAGAACCTTTAACATCTGAAGAACCTTTCTGTTTCACAAAAGGTTCTTTGTGGCGAAATAAGATTCTTCAGATTACAAAAACGCAAGAAAGAAATGGTTCTTTAAAGAACCTTTGACTTAAAGTGGTTAAGGAAATAATAATAATACTAATAATAATAATAATCGGCAGGGATTCCAGACCAATACAATTAGTGTGCCTCCTCTATTTTAAAACCCATGAGCCGCCACTGCCAATATGTAAATTCCATAAAAATGAGCAGGAACTTGTGATGGAAGTGCATGAGGCACGTAATGCCCGTGTTTTAGTTAAAGGAAGAAAGAAATGGTTCTTTAAAGAACCTTTGACTGAATGGTTCTTTATGGAACCAAAACTGGTTCTTCTATGGCATCGCTTGAAGAACCTTTTGAAGCACCTTTATTTTTAAGAGTGTATACTTGTCTTTGTCATTCTTTAAGCAGTGGAACTACTGTCCCAGGCAAATTAACTTCTGGTTATGTGTTACACATGTAATTCCTGTGAGTGGAGTTTGCCCAATTTTTGCACAGGTATGACAGTTTATGTCACGTCACTTTATTTTAATGCTATGCTATGAAAATGGTAATGACAAACATGATGAAAATCATAAATTATAACTTAGCACAGACAGCATTCTTTTTTTCCCAAAAGTCCCATGTTAAGACTTGTGGTTTTGAAATAGTGTATTTTAACATTTATTGTAGTGCAGAACCTTGTCCCATAGACTCCTATTGTAAATTCATAACTATAAACATATTTTTGTTTTTACAAACTAAGGGACTTTGTCTTGCATTACATTATCTTATTTTTTATGATAACCCCACCTGTTTGGGAAGTCCACGGATCCTGCAAGCTCCTCATATTCCATGTGAAACACACTGGAGAATGTGTTCTGTAACACAAGCATAACAGCAATTACTTACTCTGCAGTTTCACTCACAGAGGTAAACTTTGAGGAGGTTTAACACAGAGGTAAGCCAGTATTTCTGAGGCTTTTTAATGCTATTAGTGTCTGGCTGCCTGTGTAAACCTAACATTGAATATCTGCAGTCACATAGTTTAATGTGCCTGTGTTTGTGCATTTCTGGAAGGGTTAGAATTTCCCGCTCATGACAAGTAAGTAGTTATGGAGCATGGTTCAGTATGAAAAGCATTCTGCAAGCAGTCATAACAAAAACGTTCATAATGGTTCTGTGCAATACACAAGGAGAAATGCAATAAATTATGAGTTCATTTCCACATTCCAGATCTCATAACAGACATCGAATATGGGTTTGTCGACAAACTTGTCTTTCCTTTGCAACAGCTGCTCTTACCAAATTTGAAGACACAAGGAGGACAGTGTCTTAATAAATTAAGGTGCCATTCGAATGCCCTTCAAGAGGTGAAACCTGACTCAGTTAAGAAGGCTAGTTGATTGTAGACCTCAGTTTTTCACAATGGTTAATCTCTTTCCATACACTGTGACCTGGAGAATGAATTCATAAAATTAACAAGCTGTCTTTCTACTTTATATATATATATATATACTATGGTGCAACTTCCAAAGACTATAAAAACTGTGTGTCAAGTTGAGGAAATCCAGAGCTTTTTCTATGAACAGAGTATGCAGAACTAGGTTTCTAGGTCAACAAATGACGCTATCACTGTGACCTGGAGAATGAATTCATAAAATTAACAAGCTGTCTTTCTACTTTATATATATATATATGGACTATGGTGCAACTTCCAAAGACTATAAAAACTGTGTGTCAAGTTGAGGAAAACCAGAGCTTTTTCTATGAACAGAGTATGCAGAACTAGGTTTCTAGATCAACAAATGACCTCTGAATTATGATACACATCTCAAAAACAGAACTTTCTCTGAAGAGATCAAGTCTTTCTTTATGATATTACCTTCATCATAACAGCTCACCTATCTAGACAACCTAAACATCTAAATGTAGAATGCCGTTCCTTCGCATTTTGGAAATATCAACAACTATGGACTATGGACATTCTCCATTAACACTAATAACTAGAAACCTTAACTGGGTCCACTGCATGGCCTAAATGTGGCCTATAATTTCGGACCTTTTGCAATACATGACGTAGATAAACTGGACTAGGTAACTGAAGGTAATGTTCCAATATTAATGTTTAATTCTATGCCCCTGTCTGCTTTGACTATAAACAACATTTTACCATATTCATATTAATGATTCTACCTCAACATCATTGAAAATGAAATAATTGTAATTAATTCAGACAACTGGGCATTCATGGTGTTTTAAATCACACATGAATCGAAATACTTATAAACCAACCTAACAAATGACTTTGTGTTCTAGGTGCACCTTAGTTCGTAGAGCAGTAATTTTGGGTTGTTTGCAAAGCCAAATATAGGGAACATTGCACATACAGTCAGTACACCTTTAAAAAAAAAACACACATGCACAGTGAGGTGGATGACTACTGAATGAGAGCTTTCCCCGATTGCTCAATGTGAAGGGAGGATTCATCAGTTTTAAAAACCATGACTCATATACCCTTCTTTGTGCATCCACCGAAAGGTTTTCCCAGCTTTTCATGTAATACATTTCCCTTTGATCTTAACAGAAGTGCATATTGCTGGAATACATCATGTTGGAATACATAATGTTTTTCTCATTACAGTGTTTGCAAAGCGGCAATACATTGAAATATATTAAATATATATATATATATAGCACTGGTATTTCCTCCAGAAAATATAATTTGAAATATCTGGTATTTTGGGTACATGAGGTGCATGTGTATTTGTTGCCATGTTTCTTTGGCAGTGGCAAATAAGGAAGCAATTTAAGTGAAGTTCTCTGCTAGTGAGTCTGCTATAAAGGAAGCAATTGTTTCTTAACTCTCTCACTCAGCTATGGAAATATCCTACACAGCCTCTCTTTTATAATGCCTAAATGCTGTACATTAGTATTGGCGAACTATTAACAAAAAAAAATCTTAATCGTATTGGGGTAAAATAAAATAAAAGATAAAAAGTAAAAGAAAGGGTTGCACTTTAGACACTAGTTAGGCCTACAGAGATTACACCATTATGTTCTGGAATTAATCTAAATAAAAATATTTTAATTATGTTAAATAACTCATTATAAATCAATAAATAATTATGCTTTTCTAAATTAAACAAAAAATATTTTGCATTACATGTAATTTGATCTTCTAAACAGCCCAAAAAAACAGTCTAAACTGTCTAAAACCCTAAACAGTGGTTCTCAGTGTTTTGTTTTATTTTGTTTTTTGAGCCACTGTTTTGTAACGTTGCGAACCATATTCTTTTGTGTGGTAGTATCAGCAGTACCAGTATCTGCTTGTCTCATCCTGAATCTTGGATATAAACCCGCTCCCCCCACAAACACCTCAGAGCCTCTCTTTCAAAAATATTGCTTGCTGCGGCCCCAATGTTCTCAATATGCCTCCACTGATAAAAGCTGCTATATTTAATTGTCTTTTAGAACATTTAGTCTCAACTACAAGCAATTTTTTTGCTTTAGGCTAAAAATACAGATGTCAAAAAGGCAAGCTGTTTGAAGCCCAAGCTTAATTTTTTTTCAAGCATCCTAAAGGGATATTTTGGATAGCCAATATCTTGGTGACACCAAAGAAATGCAAAACATGCTTGATATTTCCATGTTTTATGATCATAAGAATTCTTGGAAAGTTTTTAGTGTTTTGGAATTAAATGTGATGCGATATTTTGGTCTTACAGCTGTTTCCCTGTCAGAAATGAAGACTGTGCATTCTTGGGCCTGCATGAAAGACAAGATGGTAGCCACAGTTTTCCTCAGTAAGACCTCCAAAGACTGCTGCTCTTCAAAGATCAGACTAGCCAGATCCAACAACACCTAAAAAAACCACCCCAAACAATGATCACTGCTTATAGCCAAGTTACTGTTTAATCACACCTATACAAAATTAATTTGTACTAAAATGTGGAAAAATACCTGGTTTCGCCTGTTCTCCAGCTGTGATGTCTCATAGAGTTGTGCATTGTGTAGCACTATGCCAGAGAAAGTCAGGTACGAAGAAAAGTCCTGTTGAGATGAAAAATAAACAAATTATTATAATAAAATAACAGAAAATATAAAATAACTATCAAATTAAATGTGCAAATTGTTCACCCTCTCATCCTGTTCTGTGAAGGCACTGTTCTCTCCACACCTTTTATTGATTGCTTGCGCTACTCCAACAACCTTTAACATTAATAAGATATAGCAGTCAAGTTTTAATAGCAAATATTGTATAACAGTTTAGACACTTTTTATGTTTAAATTCATCTCTCACCTCATCTCTGTGATTTTTGATGGGCAAACACAAGATGCTCTGCGTCTTGTATCCTGTAATTTGGTCCACTTCTGCATTAAAACGTGGATCCTGAGGGAGAAAAAAAGCAACCACAATTCCCATTTATCCAGCATTTCTATAAATTATGACTTACAATAATATCACTATTTTAAAAATCAGCTGCGCATTTCATTAGACAATGTCGTTTTTTTAAATAGTTATTTTTTCTTCTTATGCACCGTAGAACTACAACCTAGTCATAAATGTTAAAGGAATAGTTTACCCTAAATAAATGAATAAATAATCAATCTATCATATACATTGCATTTGTTTATTCAGTGTTTAGCTCAGGCCGCAGGGTAGGGTATGCCTGATTAGAATGCCTTGGGACTTTGTGTCTGTTGTTGTGATACCACCAGCCTATCAGCACTGTCATGACGTAATTTTATTCTTCATTTCTTGTGACTCAGAAACAACTGTGTTCCTGAGCACAGATGGCAGATTTCCAATTGTGTATATCTGGGTGGGGGGGGTCCTGCAACAACCGAGCAACTGCAGTTCTGTTTGGCACCGTTAGTGACACAGAAATGATGTACTTCAAGTAAACAAATATGTTTTTAAGACAGATGACGTTTAATGGCACCATAAGGACCTTGTGTTTTTTCTTAATTTTACCCTGTTGTGATACGCGGAAACATAATCATGATGTTTTAAATGGGGACTGCTGGATTATTCCTTGAATGTTTATATGAAACAGTGTCTCACAAGACCATTAAACACTTGAATTTCATGCCAAACATGGTTAAGGGTTTATCTTAACCTTAATTTTAGTGTTTTACGATACATCCTGTTAAAGATTAAGATTTTAAATTTTTAATAATTTTAATCTATTATTCTTTCTCTTTTTCACTATCTTTCTCTTTACCTCTTTTTCCTTTCCCTCTCTCTGTAGAACTCAGGGAAACACAATTAAACTAAATTACAAAGAGCTAAAAATACCTGCCGTCATTATTCAAACTGTTGGCTAGCAACTGAATTGCATAACATTTAAATCTAATCAAAGGCCTTAAGAGATATAGCCTAAATTGCATTTTAGTACTAGAAGGGTATTATAAAGCAGTACATTTTATTTCAGCCTCTGAAACTAAAGCGTTTCCTATGCACATGACAAGGCAATACAGAGGAATCAGATTAGAGGAGAATGCTTTAATAAAACTGCTGTCAAAAATTCGGTCTAATTATTGAGATAAGCAGGTAAATCCAAACTTTTCTCTATCCACATTTTCATTATAAGACCAAAGGGTGATGATACAGTCTGAGGGAAGAAACACACATTTGTGTCTAAGCTGTTGTCATTTAACAACTAGCCCATCTCATGACCAATAATTTCTACTTATTTTTTTTCCAATTTGTATTCATTTTAATTTGATGTATTTAAAATGTCACAATTTTTTATTTCACATGTGTCACATGTTCACAATATCATCAAATTTAGGCTTTCTCATGTATAGTCTTTAAGGAATAAAATACTGAAATGGCAAACAGCAGGTGAAAGGACAGAGCCTCACCTCATATGCATTCTTGATGTTCAGAGGCTGTCCAGTGGCTGCCACATATCCCACAATTCCTTTGTTCCATTCTAGGCGAATACCACTGTTGGAAGCCTCCTCAAGAGTGGATCCTTCTGCAACATCAAATAGCCGGCTAACCAGGAACTTCCTGTTTGAACTGTCCTCTCCAACCAAGAACAACGAATAGCGATCCGCAGCTATCAACTCATGAGTGTGTAAGAAGATCCTGTGGCAGAGGGCAGTAAGGTCCAAGTGACTTGAAACATCACGTACAAGCTCCAACAGACGAGCACAGCGGTCCCCATTTTCACGAACTCCTGAGTCCATAATACCTCCGTCCTCATCTGTCCCATTGCATGAGCCAGGCCGCTGGGGAGGAGGAAGTGGCATTTGCACCCTTTCTGTATCACTAAGAAAAGTAAGTGAACCCTCAGCGTCTTTCACAACAATGGGGCGAAGTGGCCTATCAAACTCAGATGCAGAGATCTTTCGTGTAGGGGTAGATGGAGCTGGACTTGGAGATGGTGCATCAGTTGGACCCAGTGGATGGAGTGCCGATAAAGGTTCTGGCGGAGCTTTTGATCCTTCCCTAGATGGCTGAATGGAGTGGACACGTTCAGCAAACCAAGCGTTGACCATTTCCCTTAAAAAGAAATGTAACCAAAAACATTACATTAGCTCAGCAGTCTCTTGACCTAAAAAAAATTACAAATACAAAACTAAATCTCAGTAATTGCCTAATCTGATTATACCTAGTCACAAAGTCAGTTCACTTGGTATTTATCTTGGCAATGCAACCAAGCAGCTATTTCCTAGGTAGGTAACACTCATACAAATTGGGCTTCTAAAATCTGCCCTCATAACTTTTCCTATACCTTTCAGGCTGGTCAAATTAATGTGCATGCATGTTATACAGTAACATACAGGACTTCCATTCCTAGAGCTGCCATATGGCTTTCTTTTATACTGTCTCTGCCTCTCAGCTGGAAAATTCTGTTTCAACTCATCTACCGACAGTTGACCCAGCAAGATAAAAAAGCAATGTAGAGAATTTTCACAGTTCACCTCAGTTATTTCAAGGTTTTATGGGCAGTTTGCTGGACTGGACCCATCTATATAATGAACTGTTACAAAGGTTCTACGTTACATTCTTGAAGTTGTCATTAAAAGTTGAATGGGACATTGAGTTTAGCAGCTCAAATTGAAAACATTGGCGTATATAACAACCCACAATCATAACATTTGCTGATAGATTATTTCCAAATCTGTCAAAACAACACTAATGTAGTGGCTTTTATTAAACTAACACTGCAATAAAAGCATTAAAATAGCCTGTAACAAATGTTTTCAATTAAATGTTTATTATTCGGGTAGGATATTCAAACTCCACCATAGTCTCAGTGGACCCAACCTAAATTGTCCTTGGCTAGATAGTTTAAATAAATAACATTCCCTTTGAAGAGACACCATCTGACCATTTCCTAAAGTTAGTAACTTCATCTAAAGTTACTCATGCTAAGAAGTCTTAATGTATCCCGGCCAATCGAATAGTTAGGATTTTGCATGGGTTGTTTTTTCAGTGGTAATAAATAAATACATTAATTAATAATTAAACAAGCAAACAAACAGCTGGTCAGATGTTAAGAGTAAAATATAATTGATTAAATGCAAATAAAACTTAAAAATAAATTAATTAATTTTTGGGATTCCCAAAGGGCAGAAATGTAGGTGCTACACTCAGCACAAGGTTTGGTAGAATTTGTAAAAATTTTCAACCGTCTCAATCTAATTTTTCACTTTTGTGTTTTGGCCATATGCATGGCAAATTTGTATGAATTCCTATGATTCATACATTTTTGTAGGATCTGCTTACACCCCACTTTTTTTTCTAAAACTCTTACACTTTTGTATGGATCAAAACATACACATTCATATGAAATTGCAGAATTACAAAATAGTTATGTTTTCTTATGAAAGCGGGTTGCCTTTTTAAAAATGTTTCATAATTTGTTATGTCTGTTCTTCTTCCTCATTATTTCACCAGTACTGGACCTAATTTTCTGAGCACACAATAGTTGTCTGGACATGTATGCAGGTGTGTTAATTAAGGCAACTTATTTGTTTAAGCTCTGCATTAAAGAACATCAAATCAATCAATATATCACGTCAAAATGTAAAAGTTCACAACTTTGTTTGTTGGTTGTTATAGATTAAACGCTCGGTTCGCCTTTCAGTCATAAGTCAAACAACACTCTATTCCTTCTCATAATTCCATGCACTACATTAAACAGCTCAGCCGCTATTGTAAACCCTAAAGTCAGTGCTATGGAGGATAGCGTTGGATGGAGAGAAGTCCTATGCAGTCCACTAATGGAAACAATTTTGAGTGCTTAGTTTGTCCTGTGTAGCGCTCAACAAGACAAATATGGCAGTAAAATCATTTATTAACAGCAGGTTTAATGGAGACAGAGAGAATGGGGTTGAAACCGGGGTCAAAACAATGGTATAGGCCTACTGCAGAGACACAAGTGAATGTGCCACTGGATGCAGGAAATGAAAGTAACTTGAAAAATCCCATTAAACTTGGGTGACCACACGTGCCATTTTCCCAGGAAGCGTCCTGGCCAGGATTTCTATATTGCCTAAAATATCTAGGTTTTCATTTTTTATGTGTATTGCATTTTTGCAGAACTGAGAAATAACTGCCTAGCGATATAGCTAGCCTTGTGTCAGGAGACCAAGAAACTATAGTACTGTATAATGTAATAAAATTTGGCCAAATGTGCAGAGGATGCTAAATTTACTTTTTTAACCCTCTGATGCATGAATTATTAAAGGGGTCATATGATGCAATTTAAATTTTTCCTTTCTCTTTGGAGTGTTACAAGCTCTTGGTGCATAAAGAAGAACTGTAAAGTTACAAAGACTAAAGTCTCAAATCCAAAGAGATATTCTTTATAAAAGTTACGAGTAAACCACGCCTACCTAAAACGGCTCGTTCTAACACGCCCCCACATGTCTACGTCACGATGTGGGAAGATTTGCATAACGCCGCCCAAATGTTCACGCAAAGAAAGCCATCATTTCAGAAGTGAGGGGGACAGAAATGTTGAGTAAATTTTTTCAGGATTCTTTGATGAATAGAAGGATCCAAAGATCAGCATTTATGTGAAATAAAAAGCTTTTGTAACATTATACACTATACCATTCAAAAGCTTAGAGTCAGTATCATTTTAATTTTTTTGGAGAAGAAATTATAGAAATGAACACTTTTATTTAGCAAGGATGCTTTAAATTTATCAAAAGTGATGATAAAGACATTTATAATGTTACAAAATATTTATATTTCAGATAGCCTAAATGCGGTTCTTCTGAACTTTCTATTCATCAAAGAAACCTGAAAAAATGTTTTTTTTTGTTTTCAACATCATAATAATAATAAATGTTTTTTGAGCAGCAAATCAGAATATCAGAATGATTTCTGAAGGATCGTGTGACTGAAGTAATGATGCTAAAAATTTAGCTTTGAAATCACAATAAATTACATTTAAAAATATATTCAAATAGAAAATATCAAAAATATTTCAAAATGTTACTGTTTTGCTGTACTTTGGATCAAATAAATGCAGGCTTGGTGAACAGAAGAGACTTCTTTAAAAAAACGCTATAAAATATCTTACTGTTTAAAAACTTTTGACTGGTGTATAGGTGGGCTATTCATACACATGTGAGCACAAATACAAACACACACAAGCACACACACCCTCCCACCACACACTCGAACACAATCATGCACACATATATCTGCACTCATACAGTATACATGTATACATGCCTACAGTTTTATATGAACTAATAAATAAATATAGACTGTAAGCATTGAAATAAATGATAAAATCTGAAGACTATTTAATATTTCTTTTCAATAAAACCATTCAAGTGTAAATTATATCATAATTTTAATAAAACATACAAAATAAGGCACAACCTATATATAGGCCCATAGGCAGAATTATACCCTTTGGTGCATGACGTCTACTGTAGTGGACAGGTATATTTTCTGTCACAGAAAAAAATGTACAAGGAAAATATTGTTAACATCTGGATGAAACTATTTCTGACATCCTATTTAACTGAAAAATAGTTTTGTACCCGTCCGGTTTTCTGAGAATACACTTATTGCTGAGGTACATGGTGCATCCACTTTTCCTGCTGCCATTTTGAATATATTATGCAATATCTCAAAACAAAAAAAATAGATAAAAAGACAACAATTAAATAGAATCGTAGACAACACTTTGGGGGTTCGCCAGTTGGTGGTTGGGACATGATACTACATCTTAAATGGTTCAAAATGGCTTCCAAATAGCTGTCCACTGTAGTGACCACGATGCATCAGAGGGTTAATTTTATTTTTTACTGTACTGTATTGTGGTGCATGCCAAGTTCATACATTTCTTTGGTATTTGAACTTTTCCAGTACTTTCATCTATACTGCAAGATTACTTTACAGTAGTAAAAGTAACCCAAAAGTTCATTGCTGAAATATACATCTGTATCTGTATCTGTAATTTAATTTATGTATACTGTAATAGATATTGAGCTGCAAAAATAATTCCTGAATGCTAGTAAGAGTTTTTTGTTACAGTATTATTGCTCTCAGTGTTCACTGGGCAGGAAAGACATCTGTGTATTTGAATTGTGTGTAACCATTTACTCTCTTTTTCAACTGCTTACACACAAAATCTTTACCTGTCACACAATTTCTGAAACCTGACACTCGAACACCAGAACCACACACCAAATCTGCAAAACCATACACTAATTCTGGGCCTTTGACTCAGTTTTCAATTTCATAAAACACTTTTTGCAAAACACAACACACAATTCTCTATGTAACACACAAAAATCTAACAGGAATTAATATTATGGCAAAAGTGTTTGCAAATGTTTGCTTTTGAGATGTGTTTGTGATATTTTGAATGCAGTTCATTTTGCAAGAGATGTGAGGCATTTTGCATTTTGTGTGTGCAATTCTTGGATGTGTGTGTTAAGTTTTGAAAAAAAGAGGCAAATTTTTGAAAATGTGAGTAAGCAGTTGAAAAAAACCTGTAAGAAAAATTAATAACTAGATTGAAATGTTTGAAAGACAAATTTTTGCTGGCTTGTCTTAAAGTCTTGTTTAAAAAACGTAAATGGTTTGGTCAGTTAGATGTTCTAGATGTTTGCTAAAGTGTTACTAGTTGGTTGCTAGGATATTCTGGGTGGTTGCTAGGCTCTTGCTATGCAGTTGCTGGGGTGTTGCTAGAGTATATGGTTGATAGAGTTTGTTCTGGGTGGTTACAAACATTCCCACCTCTGTTAATAACAGAAAATCAAACATTGTTTTCAAAACTGATCCAGTTTCAGTGTTTTGATATTATTGTATTTCTTTCTAATGTTAGGAAATTCTAAAGTTTTTGTTGCTCTTAAACTATATACCATCTAAGTAGCCTATGTGATTTTAATAAAACCGCATGTCTTCTTTAGGGACACAAGCTCAGAAACATTTATAACCTGTTGAATTTTTTTATATTGTGCATTGACTTGGTGCCATGATGGATATTGAAATGTTGTTATTTTTAATTTTAAACAGTATAGATT